CCCACAATGATGATAAATTTAATTTACTTCCAATTTCTCAAACTACTTTACAAATTTCAGGCAGGAAAATCACAGCCATTAGCTCACTGAGCCTGGATGCACTATTGAAGGAATGGAACTGATCAGGCAGATAGATAGCAGGGTATGGATAAGAGTCTGCTAAGAAGGGAGAGAGCAGAAATCCAGACATCAAACAGCTGATGAAATGGCCGTTTCCATTAAGGGAGCATCACATCACAGAGATTAATTAGGAGGCACTATAACAAAGTTAAGTGGATCTGAAAAAAAATGCTGAGTTAAAAGTCACCCCAAATGTCCTTCTCCTTAGATCAGAAGGTGAGTCAAGGATCTGCCATTTCCTTTCCTTTTACAAAAGCTGCACAGAGGTTAGAGATCAGACATAACCTCAGAGGTATCCTGTTTTAGGCCGGGGGCAAACCTTATTTAAAAAGAGAAAAAATTCTAATGTTCCCAAGAGAAATACCATCCTTTACTTACAGCAACATTAATGGCAGGTGACATGAGAGTTATCACTTTTTTAGTGCAAGATAAATGAAGTATATAAAACAAATTATCTATGAGTTGAAATGTCCAGCATTTTTAACCAACTTTCAATTTCAAAGATGTAAACTCATCTTAAAAATTGACAGAATAATTTTGTTTTTGAGTCTTCAGTTCAAGTTTAGCTTAACTGCTAAAATGTTAAAATCTGTTGGGTTTTTTTTTTTTAAAGGTTTTTATTGTGGATTGAGTGAAAGTTTACAGGGCAGATCATCAATTTTATATTCAACAAATCATACACCTTGTTTCATTACAATGATTATAATCCCCTCCATGTACTACCAGTTAACACCAATTGTCTCTGTTCACTTTAGCTTTTTTTAAAAAAGAAAAAAAAACAACACACAACACTCAGGCATATATCATAATTTACAAATCCAAAAGGGTACATTCTGCAAGTCTGCCTCCTGGCCACCAGCCCTTAGTCCTTCTCTTCCCATGAATCTAGAGACCTCAGCTGCTCCCCATCTCCATGACCCCATCTCTGGTGTTCTTGCTTCTCTGGATAACGTCCCACATTCTGCTTGTGTTCTTCTCCATTGATGGTCCTAGGGTCCTCTGTTTCTGGACTGTAAGATTAACCACTCCACTGTTTTTGTTATAAAACTTCTACCTTTACAACTGTGACAGTTGCAATTAATCATGATAACAATTATTCACTATTGAATCATATGAATCTTATCCCCATCTCTTTTCACCAGATCCATCTAGAGAAGATGAAATCTATTCAGTGAGGACTCTTTCTTTTCCCCCCATACTCTTAAACTAAACTCCCTCTTGAATCCTTATAAGCCAGTCACTTCGTGCCTCTATCGCTCCCCCTCATTTTAGCTAGCCAATGTCAAAGTTGCCCATCCCTATCTACCCTGTGTACAGAGGGGATAGCCTTCACACTTGACGTGCAGATTCGTTCCCTCTTTGTTGGTATTTACATACATGAGTACAAGTCAGGTTGAACTACATCCTATATTACTGTGTACCTATACTACATCCATGAGTATAGGTCAGGTTGAATAAATTGCAGCAATTTACCCTTGTTTCCTTCATTAAAACTTTTATTGACTGATTGATTGATTGTAACCGTCCTCTAGTCCAGTTCTGATTATCAAGCCATCGAAGCTAGATCAAATGGGTACTGTCTGCAAGTTTGGGTGTTCTTGCGCATCTCTCCTCACTTCATATCAGCTGGACGGACGCTTCATTCTTCCCTCTAGCCTTCTGTGACTATGTCCTTGTCTATAAGCTCAGGTATCCCCAGCTCTCAACACACTTTGGACCAACCAGCCCTTACTCTTATCTCTCTCATCTCCATATCAACGGGAATCAATGTACTGAGACTGAACTCAGCACATCTCTTCATTGCTGCCTTTCCCCCTCTTCCACTCACCAGAAGACCAATGTGGTTGCCAGCAAGCTTACATCCCTGTTTGTGTATTCCCTTTGAGTTTCAGTATTAGAGGGGAGTTTGTTATGAAAGACCTTGATTGCTTGCCTTGATGGCTTCCTGGCGAACAGCTTGCTTATTCTTGCAGTAGCCAGTCACGCTGACATTTTTGTTTTGGGTTTTTCCTGATGATCTTTCTTTGAAGATGTATCTTCTGCGGCTCTAGCTGTTCCAGGCTGGTCTGCTTGTCCTTTCTAGTGGGAATGTCCCTCCTCAAAAAGTTCTGGATAGGACTCAGGATTCCACCTAAGGTATTATACTCTGCAAAGGCTTTGCAAGAGGCCTATTTCACTGGGCAAATTCTAGAACCCCTTTTACGTATTCTAATCAGTTATAGACTGAAGATGGGCTTACAAGCTTTCTGTAATCATGTTTCCCAACATTCCTTTCTATCCCACTCAACTGTCCTATTTTAAAATAATAGGCAAGGGAAACCAATATTCATAAGACAGTCAAGCATTTTAGTATTATTTCCCCTCTAAAAACTATGCCTAGATTCCTATATCATAGAGCCCTGTTGTTCCAAGGTTGAGCATGCATAACTATTTACCTCTGTCCCACTTAGGCCATGTAAACCTGTCTCAGTGTTCCCCTATCTATCTTGTTCTTCCACCTCCTCCCCCTTCTTATATTTCCCTCCCCAACACCCTAACTACACCCCTACCCCAACCCCACTATTGTGGTTACCTTATATTCCATTAACTCTTCCCTCCAATTAAGACAGTCTATTTTATCCTGTAATCTACCTGACCTTCCCACCACCTGGATCTCTGTTCCTATGTGTTTAACTTATTTCACACTGATCTTAGACTGACCTCTCAGATCTATTGTTCTTATAATTTTATTCTGTTCTTGACTCTTCCATTTGTCAATTGAGTTCAGAGTGATGCTGCCACGTACGTCATTCTCTAGTTGTTGTCTGTTCTTGTTGGTTCTCAGTCCACAGAACTTCCGTTAGGATGTTTTTCATAGCAGGGTTGGCTTTGACAAAATCCCTTAGCTTCTGTTTATCCTGGAATGTTTTGATGATACCATCGTATTTGATTGACAACTTTGCTGGGTAGAGGATTCTTGGTTGAAAGTTTTTTTCTTTCAGGGTTTTATATATGTCTCCCCATTGCCTTCTTGGCTGCATGATTTTTGTTGAGAGATCCGAGCTTAATCTGATTTGTTGTTGTTAGGTTCCTATGAGAGGGTACCTACCCATAGTGACCTTATGCACAGCAGAACGAAACACTGCCCGATCCTGGGCCAACTTCACTACTGTTGCCATACTTGAGTCTACTGATGCTGCCACTTGGCCAATCCATCTCGTTGGGGGTCTTTCTCTTTTTCTCTGACCCTCTACCTTACCAAACATGATATCCTTCTCCAGTGACTGCTCCCTCCTGACAATACGAGAGACGAAGTTTGGCCATCTTGGCCTCCAAGGAGCATTCTGGCTGCACTTCTTCCAACACGGATCTGTTGGTTCTTTTGGCAGCCCATGGCACTTTCAATATTCTCCTCCAACACCATAACTCAGAATCATCAATTCTTCTACAGTCTTCCTTATTCACTGTCCAGCTTTTGCATGCATATGAGGTTATTGAAAATACCATGGCTTGGGTCAGGTGCACCTTAGTCCTCAAGTGTTGCTCTTCAACACTTTAGAAAAGGTACTGTCTCTCCAAAAATCTTCTCTCCAAGATGGAATGGCTGGAGACTTTAGACCCAGAGAGGGAGATGGGCTGTGTGCTGATGACGTGGGGGGCAGGGCTGTAGGGTATACTCTTTGGCTGGCTGATGATGCATGGAGGGGATTACAACCATGGCAATGAAATAATATATGATAGGATGAATGTAAAACTAATGTTCTCCCACGTAAACTATCACATAATTCACAATAATACATTTAAAAAACAACAAAAAAAAAACTATATTTGATGAAAAACAACTTTGAAAAAGCACAATGAACTTGAATAAAGTCATACAGTTTTATATCTCTATACCTCATAATCAAACTACTGAAAGACAAAGAGAATCTTACGTAAGAAGCAAAACTGGGATACTCTCCTGAAGATTACTACAAATGTACTCGAGGCAAAGAGTGTGTCTACAAGACTAGATCTTGGAGTCTTAGTTTCCCCATATAGTTGAGCCTATACTCACGATAATAGGGGATCGTTTTTGCCCATACAGTCTTTTGATATAAAAATAAACTAACATTAATGACCCAGGTGGAATTTTAGTGTCTTACAGCTAAATTCAAAGCAGGACTACATTTGAAGATGAAGTAACAAACTCACTTTACAGAAAAAAAGACACCCACCAAACCAGCAGCTGATGACTGATATGGGAATGTTCTTTTAAGCACTTAAATGAAAGAATTAATTTATCTATGATTTAGTGATTTTGAAAGTATCTCATTCACAAGACAATACTGTGACATATTGAAACCTCTGAAGAAATTTATATTAAAATAAAACTTTTAATTGTAACAGAGCTAAAGTATAAATTTGACTAAATTTCCACCCTTTTTCCACAATAACTTAAAGAAATCAAGGCAATAACCATAATTTTCTCTCTCAGGATGTGAAATTAGGACAAAATAAATCATACAGATTTATTTTCCTTCTATAAAGCTTTTTTTAAACAGTTTAAAACTGCGTTTGTATAGTGTTTTCATATTTTAGAGTAACAACGACTTTAAAATATAAAGGAAGAAATATATGCTCAAAGACATACCAGTATCTTCTTTTGAAAAGCAGTATTATATCATAAAATTCTAAACGGAAACTGAATACTTTCTAACTCTGTTCCTCAGATAACTATGCCAAGAAAAAGTGGGAGTAAATGTTTATCTCAAAATGAGGTTGAGAAAATAAGACTGTAGCAATTTTAAAAAGCAGGTATAAATAAAAGAATGAAAATCCTGAGACTAATTAATGTTCATGGTGAAGAGTTAACATCTGAATGGAAAACTAATAGACTGTTGAAACTTCCCAAAACTAACCTGTGATGATAAGACATTCATTGTGATCCAGCACTTCAGTGAAGAGTCGTGACACAATCAACTCAGGATTGATTAAAAATCGGATTTCTTCCTGCACAAGTCCTGCACTCGTTACACCACCTCCAACAAAACGATTTGCAAAATCCACCTGTATTTGGGAAAATGTGGCACATTAAATGACCTTAAAACCCCACATATATGATAAAGAAGCATACTTCCTCTAAACTATAATTTTCTCCTTTCCCCAAAAATACAACTCTCACAGCAGTAATCTTACCAAGAAAGATAGATTACAATGGCTTGTGCTCTTTCATCTCACTGTACATTTCTTTGTATCACAAAACCTTGAGAGGAACCCAGGAAATGGAGCTTTTAGGTCTTTTTACCCAATAAGCTTGAATGGATTATGCAGACTTTTATTCATAAACCTTATTTGTGACTCAGGACCCATAAAAAGCAAGAGAGATGTTTATAGGAAAAGTCTGTAAGATCATTTTTCCATCATGCACTCAATCTCCCTTTATGTATTTCACATGAGTTTTATGCCTTTATTATATAATATGGCAATCAAATACTTGTGCAGTACAAATAAAAGTTCACTAATTGACCTTTTCTAACCTTTTCCTTCTGTGGAGGAATAAAAGCATTTAATTTTTGTCTGTTTAAACTCAGCCCCAAACCTCAAATTGTATGAACATTATAAACTATATTTTACAAACTATACTGCACACCCTAAAAAGGACAGAAAACTCATGTTTCACAACAAAGATTCAATTAAGTTAATATTTCAAATTTAGTTTAAAACTATACTTGTTTCTCAAGATTACTAAGATGTAAATCTCAAGCTCCTTAATAGAGTTACACATCCTCAGTAGAAAGCAAACTCAACCCTCAGCATTATTTCAGGTCACCTTAAACTTCCCAAGTATGACAATGTGTGTGACACTTTGTATGCACCATGAGACAATAAATAAGAAATAATTTCCATGTTTGCTTTAGTTTACTCTACCAGATGAGTTAAACTATACACATGTGCACGACAACTATACACAAGGGGGGGGGGAGCTTCAAACAAGGTGTGGAAAATGCCATTATCTTTTAACTTCATCAAGTTTGTCAAATCTCTGTTCACTTCTCTTCTTCATCTTTTGTAAGCTAAAAGGTGATGCAAGTCACACCCCAGGAAACTCCTTTTATATTGGACCAGGGCTTAGATCTAAGGAAGGGTGTTGCATTGCAACCTATTGTCTTACAACTGATTGGCTTATCACATAAGATGACAACAAGATAATCACATCATAACCTGTCAAATCACTGAAACTAATGCCAAGTTGACACATATTTTGGGGGGAAACAATTTTATCCATGACAGGTGGGAAGAGTGGTCTGGGGTTTAGAATGCTATGCTCAAGAATTTTCACTTAGCTCTGAAGGTTCTAGAGAAGACTCCAAAAAGGAAAATAACAATCAGATCTATGTTACCGGAAGATAATTTGTGATAGAGCATAAAGAATGGACAAGAAAATCATAAGACTAAAAGCAGAAAAACTGGTTAGGTAACTGCTGAAAAGACAAGTACTACTAGGATCTAGCCGACTTTTAGTGTGGTACACTGCAGGGTCAGCACTAGACTGTTTAAACCCTACACAGGCTCATTATGGGTCCAAACGGACTCAACCGCACTTAACAGTAACAACACTAGGATCTCAAATTTGGGAGTGAAGAGAGGAAATTTTAACAAAGACTAAAAATGGATAACACAAGAAAACTGAGAGAAAGACTAAATACCTAGAAATAGGATACTGTGAATACAAATGAAAAACAGAGAGGGTTTGGGATGGGCTAAACTTAAATTGTATTGGAGTAAGGTATATAGAACTAATTACAAGGTAATCTCTATCCAACTTGTGTATTATTTGGCAATGATCAATGAAATACATTCAATGTGTGAAGTACTATTCACTCTGAATAAAAGACCAATGCATAGTACTTGAAAGGTGGGTGTAAAATAGATACACTTAACTAATATTCCTCTAAAAGTAGGAGTCTTTTAGAAAATCACAGCTTCTACCAAATAAAAGAGTCTCTATTACAGGTGAGAAACTAGTTCTGGTATAAGAAAACAAGCATGTAAGTACTTGTATATATTTTTTAATCAGTCATTTTCTAAATCACTAAAAGCTACTTATTCAGATTATTCAGTTTGTGAATTATAACTTGATGAAAAGAAAGAAATGTAACATTCTTAAGAGACGTCTTATTGCTACCGTAGAGCATTAATGTAATTTACATGTCATACAAAGAACTTTGTAGCACTGCAAAACAATATTCCTTAATCTCCTGGGGACGCATGGCATGGGGAGAACAACAATTATTAGTACTAGCAGCATTTATGGTCTTTTAATCTATTGAGGTTTCACATTTCATCTATTGAGGTTTTCAGGGAAGTGGGGAGAATCTCAGCCTTGAATGTTACTAAGTATTTCTGTGTTAACTTAGAGAATAATAAAAGGTTAGTCAGTATTCCTGTGGTGCAGGGTTGCTGTTATGTGCTGTCCAGTAGTTACTGACTCAGAGCGACCCTCACAATGTAGCTATGTTTGAGACACTGATGCAGCCACTATACTAATTCATCTTGTTGGAGGGTCTTCCTCCTTTTTCCCTAAAACTCTACTTTACTAAGCATCACATCCTTCTCTCCAGGACTGGTCTCTCCTGATAACATATCCAAAGTACGTGACGCAAAGTCTGGCGGTCCTTGCTTTCAAGAAGTATTTTATTTATACATCTTCAAAAACAGATTAGTTTGTTCTTTGGAAAATCCATGGTACACTCAATGTTCTTGAACAACAATATCAATCCTTCAGTCTTCTTTGTTCACTGTCCAGTTCGTGCATGCAAATTAGGTGATTCAATACATGGCTTGCACCAGACACACCTTAGTCTTCAAAATGTCATCTTTACTTTTTAAACTTCAACAAGGTCTTTTGCAGCAGATATGCTCAATACAATAGGTTATTTGATTTTTTTAATGCTGCCTATATGGGCATTGGTTGTAGATTAAGGTAAATGAAATCACTGATAACTTCATTATTTTCTACATTTATCATGATGTTGCTTTTTGGTCCAATTGTACGGATTTTTGTTTTATGTTGAGGTATAATGGATAACGAAGGTTTTAATTTTTGATCTGCAAGTAAATGTTTGAAGTTCTCTTCCCTTTCAGCAAGCAAGGTTGCATCATCTGCATATCACAAGTTCAATGACTCTTCCTCCTATCCTGATGCCACATTCTTTACATAGTGCAGCTTCACTGATTGTTTGCTCAGCATATTGACTGAATAAGAATGGTGAAAGAATACAACCCTGACTCACACCTTTCCTGATTTCAAACTAGGAAATATTCCCTTGTTTTATCTGAGCAATTGTCATTTCGTTTATGCACAAATTCTGCATGAGCAAAACTAAGTGTTATGAAATTCCCATCCTCCACAATGTTACCATTTGTCGTTAAATATAATCGAGTCAGTACCAACTCATAGCGACCTTATGCACAGCAGAATGAAACACTGCCTGATCCTGGGCCAACCTTACTACTGTTGCCACGCTTGCTTCCATCGATGCTGCCACTTGGCCAATCCATCTCACTGGGGGTCTTCCTCTACTCTGACCCTCCACCTTACCAAACATGATATCCTTCTCTAGTGACTGGTTCCGCCTGACAATATGTCTGAAGTATGAGAGACTAAGTTTGGTCATCTTGGCCTCCAAGGAGCACTCTGGCTGCACTTCTTCCAAAATGGATCTATTGGTTCTTTTGGCAGCCCATGGCACTTTCATTATTCTCCTCCAACACCAGAAATCAAAAGCATCAATTCTTCTATGGTCTTCCTTCTTCACTGTCCAGTTTTCGCATGCATATGAGGTTAATGAAAATACCATGGCTTGGGTCAGGCACACCTTAGTCCTCAAGCTGACGTCTTTGCTCTTCAACACTTTAAAAAGGTCTTGTGCAGCAGATTTGCCCAATGTGTGATTCAATCAATCGTGTGATTTCTTGACTGTTGCTTCCATGAGTGTTGATAGTTGATCCAAGAAGAATGAAGTCCTTGAAAACTTCAATCTTTTCTCCATTGATAAAAATGTTTATTGGTCCAATGGTGAGGATTTTTGTTTGTCATACTGTGGTGGCTTTTGATTTGCTGTGATTCTGAAAGCTATGCCACTGGTATTTTAAATACGAGCAGGGTCACCCATGGTGGACAGGTTTCAGATGAGCTTCCAGACGAAGACAGACTAGGAAGAAGGAGTGATGAACCACTTCCGAATATTTAGTCACTGAAAACCTTATGAATAGCAGAGAAACACAATGTTATAATCCACATAGTTGAATGTCCTTGTATATTCAATAAATCAAAGATAAACACCCTTCTAGTATTCTGTCTTTTCAGTTGCAATCCACCTGACACCAGCAATGACTATCACACTCATTCCTTACCTTCTGGCTTGAATTTCTAGCAGTTCTGTGTCAATGTAGTGCTATAACTACTTTTGAATTATCGTCAGCAAAATTTAACTTGCATATGATATTAATGACATTGTTCAATAATTTCTGCATCATACTGGACCAGCTGTTCTTAAAATGAACACAAATATGGATCTCTTTCAGTTGATTGGTCAGGTTGTTGTCTTCCACTCTTTCACACAGATGAGTGAGTGCTTCTAAAGTTGCATCAGTTTGTTGAAACATCTCAATTGGTATTCCATTAATTCCTGGAGACTCATTTTTCACTAATGCTTTTAAGTGCAGCTTGGATTTCTTCCTTCAATTCCATTGGCACTTCATCATGTGCTAACTCTTGACATGGTTGAACACTGACTTTTGGTATATTGTTGTTACTAATATGTGCCATCAGGTCAGTTCCTACTCATAGCGACCCTGTATAGGGTTTCCAAGGAGCATCTGGTGAGCTTGAACCGCTGACCTTGCAGTTCAAACTGACCTTGAAATCCAGCACATTAACCGCAGAACCACACAGGAACTCCAGGATACCAGGACTTTTGGTATCGTGACTGTACATTGTTTCCATCTTTTGCTGCTTCTTGCATCATTCAATATTTTGCCCACAGAATCCTTCAGTGTAGCAATTTGAGGTTTGAAATTTACGCCCCCCTTTACTTTCAGCTTGAGAAATGCAGAACGTGTTGTTCTCATTTGGTTTTCTAACTCCAGGTCTCTGTACATTCCATTATAATGTTTTACTTTTGTCTTCTCAAGGCATTTTGAAATCATCTGTTCAGTTCTTTCATGCCATCATTTCTCCCATTTGCTTGAGTTATGCTTCAATAAAGAGCAAACTTCAGAGGCTCTTGTGACACCTATTTTGGTCTTTTCTGTTATTTTAGTAACTGTGATGAAGTGAGTTATCTAATGATTGCATAATTTGTTGTCATATATTTTTGCAAAGAGCTTTTATTGGTTTCTTCAATTCATCTAGTCTTCACTTCATTAGTGTTCAGTGCTTTAAGTTCAGTGCTGTGTATTAAGATTCCCTTAGTTAATCCATGACTCTAATGTAGAAAAACACCTCATCAAAAAATTATGCGAGGAAATTTGATATTCATTTGGATCAATTTTGAAGTATATTTCAAGATTAAAAAATATATATATAGTAAAGGTACTCTTCTTTATCTTCAAATAGTACAGAACATTATTACTTAAGGTTTTCTACGTATTTTCTTTATGAGTTCCAACAGTCAGTGGGAAAAGGTGATTTAAAATATGCTTTGTTTCGCTGAAGATTTTAATTACACACATGTCTAAATAAAAGGTATGCTAAAAAGGAATCCAATTCATTAGACACTTGGAGCATAAATATTTAGTAACTAGTCAAGTTACACAATTCATTCTAGACATGTTATAATGAATATTAAGTATATATTCAAACAAGTCAACCTATTCTCAGACAATTGCTTTCTCTAGCTACTGACCTGACGTTGTTGTTAAGTGCCACAGAGTTGGTTCTGACTCATAGTGACCCTGTACAATCTTTCTCAGGAGCAGCTGTGGGTTTGAACTGGTGACCTTGATGTTAGCAGTCCAGTGCTTATCCTACAGCACCAAATCAAATAAAGACCTATCCCCAAGAAAAATGAGATGTTGTGCAAGCTTTTCCAATAAAAATTACAAATGGAAGAAAGAAAAATACAAACATTTTGTCTCTGATTACTAAAACCAAACAACTACTGTTGAGCGGATTCTAACTCACAGCAACTCCATGGGACAGTTTAGAACTTCCCGTTATGATTCCAAAGGGTGGAAAGCTTTCCAGAAGCAGACTGTTACATCTTTATCCTATAGAGAGGTTGGTGGGTTTAAACTGCTGACCTTCTGATTAGCAGCCAATGCCCCATGAGGGCTTCCTTTTGTCTTTAAGTGTTGTTACGTACCGTTGAGTCGGTTCCCACTCAAAACGACAATATACACAACAGAATGAAACTGTCTGGTCCCGTGCCAGCCTCAAAATTGTTGCTATGTCTGAGCTCACTGTGTCAACTGATCCCACTGAGGGTCTTCCTCTTTTCACTGACCATCTGATTTACCAAGCAGGACGGCTTTATCCAGGGACCAGTACTTCTTGAGAACACGTCCAAAGTATGAACGAGGAAGTCTTTGAAGCAATAGTCTGGCTGTATTTCATCCAACACAGATTTGCTTGTTTTTCTGGAAGCCCATGGTACTTTTAATATTCTTGTGGTTGTTGTTAAGTGCCATCGAGTCAGTTCTGACCCATAGCGACAGGGTTTCCGAGGGTGTAAATCTTTACAGGAGTAGAAAGCCTCATCTTTCTCCTGCAGAGCAGCTAGTAGTTTCGAACCGCTAACCATAAGATTCACAGTCCAATTCATAACCACTATGCTACCAGAGCTCTATTCTTAGCCAACACCAAATTTCAAATGCAGCAACTCTTCTACAGTCTTCTTTATTTATTGTCCAACTTTTACATGAACATAAGCTGATTGAAAATATCGCAGCTTGGGCCAGGCGCACTTTTGTCTTCAAAGTGACAATTTTGCTCTTTAACACTATAAAGAGTGTTTTTTGGTCTCTAATATTTGTTGCTCTTAGGTGCCATCACGTTGGTTTCGACTCATAGTGACCCTGTATATGGTTTCTGAGGAGCGGCTGGTGACCTCAAATCACGACCCTGCAGTTCAAACGACTTTACAGTCTGTTGCATTAACCCACAGCACCACACCAGGACTCTAATTAGTCTTAATTAATGCATTAAAAAAACACAAGGATCACAATAAAAGGAAAACATGTGCTCAGGTTAGGTGTTGCAGCATTTTTTAAAAAGCTAGATAAAGTGTTTACTTGTTAAGTTCTGTTTTAAAGCTTGTTTTTTAAGTTAAGGTAGTAACACAAAATCATAGAAAAAAATGACAGGCAGACAAAATTACCTACTCTAAAAGTGGGAAAAGACTTTTAACAAGCATAGTTGGCTCACATGCCTAAGTCAAACTATTATATAAAAGGGTGATGCCTTTCTTATCTATCAGTTTAAAATGTCTGACTCCTAGACCTAAATAAGGCTGTTTGTGGCAGAAAAACCTCTCATAGTTGGTCATCATTTGGGATAGAGTAAAAACCTTTAAAGAAAAATAACAAAACTGTCTGGTGACAGCCTGTCAAGACCATACACTGGGAACTTCCTCCCCTGACAACCTACAATTAGTGTCTGAACCAAGAGGCCTGATGCTGTCCAGATCTTGGGATTTTCTGTCAAAGGTTTTTTAAAGACGCACATATGAAAACTGAGAGCGTGCAATGGCAAATAATGACATTACTGAGCTGTCAAAATGATTTGTTTGGTGTCTTTCCCCATCCTCCTATTATGCTTCTCCCCATTAAATGAGTTTAGAGATAAGCAAACAGCTTTTCAAATTTTCTCTGCTGCAAGAAGCCTGACACAAGAAAGTCCCAAGGACACACACTGCTATGAATGATTCACCTACCTGGAGCATGCCTTGACCATTTCCTTCTATAGTACCTTCATACGTAACATGTAATCGAGTCAAGGGCTTTGCACATCTACAATTGAAAAAGAGATTTCCATATTTATGGGTTTACGACAATTAGCTCATTACAGAAAAATACGAAAGTACACATGACAGTAAAAGAACAACTGAAACCACACAAATATAAAACATCAGAATTAGATGCCTATTAACATTTTTTATGTAGATCCTAAGTTTTTTCTTACTAAAATAGCAAAGTAATATTTTTTATATGGTTTATATTAAAATTCTAAAAATAAATTTTATACATATATATGTAATAGTTCTGGTGAAGCACTGCAGGATAATGCAAGGTCCGTCTGAACAGTAAGGTTGGCGGTTCAAACCCACCAGCCACTCCTTGGAAACCCTAGACAGGTCACTATGAGTCAGAACCGACACAGCAGCACTTCACAACAACAACAATTTATATTTAAAGTTTTAAATTAAGATCATAAACATCTTCAAAAGCTGTCTTTCCCCTATATGAGATGACAGTTACTTCTCTTTGGGATAGATGAAAAACTTCTCAAAATAGAAAGCAGTATCAATGACATTTTATCATTATGTTAGAGTAGGTAACCTAAGTAAAACTACAGAGAACTTTGGCAATAAACCATACATGACTCTCAGAAGGTCTCTCTTTTCAACAATTTGATTAATGTGTAAATGTGTGTTTGATAAGGGGAGAGGGGTGCTTTGTGATAATAATGTCATAGAGATTCTGACCTATGTTACTTTATATTATTAATAAGGGTTACAGATGAACAGAGTATCCAAAGGAAAATCAGAAGGCTCACTATATTCCTTTTTTAACTGCCAAACAGTTAAATTTTAAAAGTTTCATTTCATTAATATAGTTTAATGGTGACTTTTTGGTATTAGATTTTACTTCTCTGCTTACCTACTAGATAAAAAGTATGTATTGTAATTGAATATAACAGATGAAATCTAATCTAACTTTTGGAATTCATACCAAGTGTAATGTTAATTATTTGGGGAGGGGGGAGTGTGACATTGTAAGGTAAGCACTGGACTACTAATCACATGTCAGTGGTTCTACTAGCCGGCTCCTTGGAAACCTTATACAGGGTCGCTATGAGTCACAACCAACTCAATAGCACTTAACAACAACAACAATTAGGAGGTTAGCTAGGAAAGCACTATTCACTCACTGGAATTTCTTCCCTTCCTGGTTTTAATGAGTCTAAATACATTTCTAGCAAAACTCCAATCCAACCAATATCTTTAAAATGATGGGAAATTAGCTCTAAATTCGAAAACGCATCATTTCAAAACACTAAGAATCTTAGAAATTTGAATTAAACCAAAATGGTTATTATTCTCAGTATTTGCAGGTTTAAAACAATGAAGAAATAAGAAATACTAACTTTCCATTTAATATTAATATCTTCACATACTAAACTCCTAATTTTAATGGGATTTTGTTTCAGAAGATTGAACAACAGCAAAAGGGCAGAAAAGAAAGGGTTGAAGAATGACATTTCTAACCATTTATTGACAGATTTCTATTAACCTATCAATAAATTATTTGTAAGAAAGAATTTCATGGTACCAGATAAACTAGAGATACAGAAACCATATTCTAAAGGGCAATAAATAAAATCCTCACAGTAAAACAGTCCTTCATCTCTAAATTTCTAGGATTATTTTTACGGTCATTACCTTTCCCAATCTGGAAAATCTTCAAGACTCTGTCTTGTAAATGTCACCAACCCAGTAGGTTCTACAAAAAACAATAAAAGGCACACTCAAATATAAATTTTAATTTCAAAAAGATCATATACATTCAGTAAACAGGTCTGACAATGGCTAGTTAAGAAATATCAAGCCCACAAGAACATGCAAACTTATATGGCACCCATTTGACCTAGCCTCGATGGCTTGATAATCAGAACTCGAATAGAGGAAGATAAAAAAAACCCCCATCAAAATCATGTTTTCTAAAGGAAACGAGTGTCAAGTGCTACAATTTGATGAACTTAACCTATACTCATGGATGTAGTAGTTCAAAATACCAACTAAGAGGGAAGGAGTCTTTATGTCAAGTATTAAAGCTATCCTCTCTGTGTATGGGGACGGACAATTTGAACATTAGCTACCTGAAATGAAGGAGGGCGATAAAGTCATGAAGTGACTGTCTTACAAGGTTCTAAGAGTTTAGTTTAAGAGTGTGTGGGAGAAGACAGCGTCCCTACTGTATAGTTTTCATCTTGCCTAGATGGGTCTGGTAAAAAGAGATGGGGATAAGATTCTTATGATTCAATAGTGAGTAATTGTTATCATGACTAATTGCGACTGTCACAATTGTAAAGGTAGAAGTTTTGTAACAAAAACTGGGGAGTAGTTAATTTTAAAAACCAGAAACAAAGGTCCCTAGGACCATCAAGGGAGAAGAGCACAAGCGGAATGTGAGACCTTATCCAGGAAAGCAGCGACACCAGAGATGGAGGCAGAGATGGGGACATGGAGAGAGGGAGCAGCTGAGGACTCTAGGTTCACGGGAAGAGAGGGACTGAGAAGCAGACTTGTAGAATGTGCCCTTTGGTAGTATAAATTATTAAATATGCCTGAGTGTTGTTTTTTTTAAAAAAAGAGCTACAATGAATAATAGAGAAATATCGTTAACTGATAGTACATGAGGGGGATTATGAAACAAAGTATATGATTTGTTGAATGTAAAACTGATGATCTGCCCTGTAAGCTTTCACTTAATTCACAATAAAAACTTAAACAAAAAAACAAAAAAACCAAGCCTAGTATTGGAATGTAACAAAAGGTTAATTTAAAATAATATCCTTACATCAGGAACCTCCTTCTATAAAATAGTAAGTTCTTCATAAATAAAGCTATAAACAGCTCTACAGTAATATTTGATTCCAGTAATTTTTGGTAATGTTTTGTAAAATGAATTAAGAAGCCCCAAAAAAAGTATAATGGGTACTGGTTATACAATTACAGAAACCTAAATTCAAATTTGTAGATTTCTTCTCAAAGAAGAACCTTAACTCTGTAGGAAAAACTAATGAATGGATATATATTTATATGGTTAAGACAAAAAAGAAAATCACTGACATGTTCTTTGGCGTTAACACAGCTAAATCTTGGACTTAAATGATAAACAGTTTGTCTGCTGTTAAGTATGTGCCTTAGCTGGAAGGAGAAATTACTGTGTTCCAGGAGCTTAGAGAAGAAAAAGTACTTAACATTCAAAGAATAACAGATTTGAGAGAATCAAAATAAATGAAGTACCAATACATAGTAAATAATTTTAGAGCATTAAGGACCTCCCTTTTTTAAAGTTTATTATTTTTTTTTTTAAGGCAGTGACAAAAAAAAATCCAAATTAATCAGCCAGCCAGAAATAATCTATTTGATTCAAACCAAAGAACAAACTAAAAAGGCACAAAACTCTTAGGCAATGCAATATATGTCAGGAACTGTTAGGAAAAATGGTGGTAGAGTTCCCATGAAAACTTGGCAAGTAAGGAGAAGTTCACAGTTCTCAGTCACAAATAATAACAACTCAAAAATCATATGTATACTAGGTGGAATAGTAGCATAAACAAACCATTATGTTTGACCCTCTCCCACAAATACAACAAAATGTATAAGGAAATGGTACTCGGCTTTAAGGGCCTCTAATTTAGGGAGAAGAGAGAAGTGGGGAAATGCAGACAGGAAAAAAATCAATGCAACAATGAGCTGCACAAGGTAGGAAAGTCAATTCTCCCATGTTTCTTGCTTCCCCTAGCCCAGGGAGTGCTCACCTACTGTGAACTGGAGAAGTGACACCATGAAAGGAGCCTGCCTTCCTAACCACCACAGCCCCTGGTTGTACAAAGATTCTACTCTAAAATCAACAAGGCAGGCCCTGTGTAGGTCCATCTGGATTGAGTGTGCTAGCCATATCCTCCACTTGAACACAGTCTGTTCAAGTCTACTATGAATTGCAACACAAAGACTGTGCAGTAAGTAGAGTCAGCACTCTACCTGCCTCCCCACAGCTCAGGCCACTGAAACCATCAGGAGAGACCTCACAGGAAATCAGTTCAGGTCTGTTCACTTCCCCTTCTACTCTGTGCTGAGAACTGTGGACTGAGGCTGCTATGGGCAAGGAAGTAGGGACCTACAGTAGGCTACAATCACAGCCAATGTATTTATAGGGGAGCTCTCAAAATAACAAGGCAGATCTTTCTGAGGGGGTTATCTGGAGTGTGCCAGACCTTCTCAATCTAGACACCACTGGCCGCAGGTGCATTGTAAATTGCTACAAGTCTGTCTGTTCCCATAGTCAGTACTCTACTGGCCTTCCTTCATACCTCATAGCTCCAGTCTCTGAAACCAACAAAACACACCACCCTGGAAGTCAATTAGGATTAGCCTGCCTCCACTTCCCACAGGCACTGAAGATCGCTGACTGAGGCTGCGGTGTATGACAAAAGAAGGAGTGTTGAGTAGACACTGAACTCATAACTAACAATCTACTGGGGGGACTCTGTTGTTAAAAAGGCAGACCTCTATGGGGATCGAGCCAGAATATAATTCCTCCTTGCCCAATTGGTAACTGTTGAGTACACGGCTGTTGCAAACTGCTACAAAAGGCCCCCACAGTCAGCATCTACCTGCCTCCCTGTGCACCCCACAGCCCAGGCCTATAAAACCATCAGGAAAGGGCAGAACAGACCCCTGGAGATCAGTTTGGGACTGTCTGTTCCCGCATGGATGCTAAGGACTGCTGACTGTGGATAGTTGGTGCTAAGGAGCAACCAGTACATGAGGGGGCAGAAGTTCACAGAAAATATAATAAAAATGGAAGCTTTACTAACTTTCTGAAGGCCCCTCACAATGAGTGGAGCTACACCTGGTGTGGCATTGCAGGATTAGTACTCAATTATGAACCACAAGGTTGGCAGTTCAAACCCACCAGCTACTCCTGAGAACCCCTATATAGAGTCACTAAGAGTTGGAACTGACTTGACGGCAACAACAGCACACCCACAAGCAACATACAGACTCTGACAGCAAAAATGCAGATCTCTCTGTGAGTCTAATTAGAGTAAGACAACCATTCCTACAACCGGACATTGTTATCTACTGGACTGATACAAACTCCTACAGAAGATTCCCTACCTTGGAATCAGGAAGTTATCATCTAAATGGCGACTGCTCTCCCAGTCACCACAGGTGACGTCACTAGGGTGATGAAACTAAGAAGCAAGATCTCTGGGGAGATCCTTCAGTTCAATAAGTGCTTGCTGTTGTTGTTAAGTCGATTCTGACCCATAGAGACCCTGTATAAGGTTTCCAAGGAGCAGCAGGTGAGCTTGAACTGCTGACCTTGCAGTTCAAATGGCTTTGCAGTCTGAGGCATTAACCTATAGCGCCACGCCCCTCCTAAAATAGAGGAGAGTCAGCCAGTGCTTCCTCTGAATACAAGCTCAAATTTAAGCAGCTCCCAAAAAACGTATAAGGAATCCTCAGACAAAAACTGAAGGGCAACACTCAGCCAGGAAGCGGTTCACTGGGTGTGGTTTTCCAACTAAAAAACATGGTTGCAGAAAAAGGAAAATAAGTAATGATGACAGAGAGGACTGGACCCTTGTGGATAGATTGATGAGTACATGCTATCTAGCCTGAGATGTAGAGTCTGCTGGAGGGAAAAATGGCCACAGCACGTTCTCTGGTGTGTTTGGGAAAGACTGAAAATTGAAACCCAAGACTTAAATGTAAAAAACCTAGAACAATACAGAGCATCAATGAAGAAACAGGGACAAACTTAGGGGCACTAGTTAATACATAGCATAAATACATTATCAAACGTTACCAAAAAAACACAAGGAATAGAAGACAAAACAGATGTCTGAGATTTCCTAAAAACAAAAAAAATTGCCAAGAGTATAAAGGGAGCCCACAAACTGAGAAAAAAATTTTTTCAACAACATATATCAGATAAGGGACTAATATCTCAAATTTACAAAAAACTATAAACTACTAAAAGAAAAAGACAACCAATTTAAAAATAGGCCCTGGACATGAAAAGACACTTTGCCAAGAAAGACACTCAGGCAGCCAACAAACATGAAGAAATGTTCATGATCATTAACCAAATCAAAACAATAATGAGCTACCATCTCACACTAGCATTAACAGCAAGTTAAAAAAAAAAAAAAAAACAACAACAAATGCTGGCGAAAGTGTGGAGAGACTAGGACCCTCCTACACTGCTGGTAGGGCTATGAAATGGTTAAACCATTCTGGAAAATGTTATGTTTCGTCAGAAATCTGAAAATGGAAGTACCTTATAACCTGGCTAACACTCTACTTGGTATATATAGCCACAAGAAAAACAAGTAGATAAGATACACACTGATGCTCATCTAAACACTATTCAATGTAACAAAAAAAGGTGGCGACAGCCTAAGTGCCTACCAATGGAACAATGCGTAAACAAACTTTGGCATAGACACACAATAGAATACTATGCAACATTAAATAATAACAATACAGCTGCAAAACACTCATAAAATGAATGAACCTGGAGGACATTATGTTGAATGAAATGACTAAATCACAAAAGGACAAATACTGTATGAGACCATTATTATAAAAATTTAAGAAAAGGTTTTCATATGAAAACAAACCAACCCAAAGGTGGGAGAGAGAAGAGTTATTCACTGGCTCAGGTGACAGGGAGGGCAGTGTACAAGAATGGGGCGGGCAATA